CACACACACACACACACACACACACACACACACACACACACACATATATATGCTATAAATAATGCTTTACCTTTTATGTCCGCTAGAGGGCGGTGTATCGTGAAAATGACTTGGATCCAACTATCAACATCATTTTGTTAGTAGTTTTTACAATTATTATAAATTTCTGTCAGTTTGTGTGCATACAGTGTCAGCTAGACATTCAGCCATATTCTCCTTAAATTAATAAAATTTTCTTTACACGAATAAAACTGTTCTGACCAGTTAAGGATGACTTTTTGGGTGTGTCTTGGGGTATTTGTACTAGAATACTGGCAGTAGAATCTTTTAATCCTGTGTTTTGTGGGATTGGATGTCATCAGACTGAATCCTGAAGTGCAACTGCAATGGACAGATTATTTAAGAAAGGAGTTCCAAACTTTGTCCAGCAGGTGGCAGCATAAGGCTAAAGAAACAAACCAGACAGTGTGCATTAAAATGTATGCTTGTTTTCTTCATTGTTGTGATGTGGTGTTTCCAGAAAATACTATTAAATTAGCATCTTCAAAAGCAAAATAAAGCGTATCTGTTCTGTGAAATTCTGTGCAAACACTCGTGGAAGAGCAGCTTGTTTACTTGGAACAACATCGTTCATTATGAAAATCATAAATATTGATCACAATCTTCAAAGCGATGGGTTCAACTTGGGACTGGAATGGTAATTGTTCCGACACACTGCTGCTGCAGCGAAGAATAAAAAAAAAGTTATGTGTCACATTGCAGCTGTTCTGTAATGTGCATTATCATCACTTCAGTCACAACAGGTTGTGGTACATAATGAATCAGACGAGTATAATTACATAAACATGCACCAATCCACAATTACATGAACAGAAGAGCATCCGTTTAGCTTGTATAATGAACTGTTGGCCTTTTATTTTAAAAAAATGAACAAAAAAAATGCCATGATATGTATTTTTTTAAATCATATTCATCTACCCTGAGTGCTAAAAGCAAAAATGAATGCCAAGTCTGAAAGACAAGTTCATCTGTAACATGAATAATAAAAACAAACGGTTATTGCACTCTAGATTATTAATGCGTTAGAAAGCAGTTTCAAAGCTGCAGGCAGCCTGAAAGCTGACAGCCTGAGATTTATTAATTTCGCTTGCATAATATTTGAATGACTTAAAGGGACTTTTTCTTATTAGATACATAAAGTTGCACTTTTACAAACTTTGTCTGTAAAAATTAACATGACTGACCTTGAGTCATGGTTTTCATCAAAAGTACCAGACTGCTGTAGCAGATCTTGACTGACAGAGGCAGTCGTCTGGACAGCAGCAGCTGTTGTTGTAATAAGCATTCAAGCCAGCAGGCGACTCTGGCTCTGTGGTTACATTTAATAAATAAGCCATTTCACCATTTTAAACTCTTTTTAGACATTTAGAACCATTTGATGATATACAATAGATTACAACCAAAACATA